TCCCAAAACCCCAAAACCCCTAGTTAAATATTCTAATTTAAGGTTGGTTAAAAAGTCAAAGAAGAAATTAAGAATATTAGGGTAAGTTAAAATTTTTATAATCTTTCATCAGAAATATTCGAATTTCAAGCAGCCACTGGTAACTCTCTTTGCTTGAGTGCCCTATTATCCAAGTAAATGTGAAGTCTGAATAAAAGAGCAGCAAATATTGCTCCAATTAGTGGAAAGGCTATGTAACACCAGGAAGCACTTGCAAATCTATTACCATTTAAACCGAAGCCATTCAAGAATCCGACTTAGTAGCATGTTTGAGCAATTGCCAATGCAGGATTCAAAGCAGAACCTGCTCCAGCCCCCATCGAATAGCAGATAAATAGTACAAAGGATGCTCCAATGCCCTTCATGATTTCATCAACTGTACGCATAGTGGGCTTGTAGATTATGAGTAAGTAGGCATAAAGGAAGATAAATGTATTGAACATCTCTAAGTAAAGGATTTTGCCATAGTATACATTATTGAACTCTGAGAAGAAGCGGGTGGCACCCACTCCCTGAATGTTCTCTGCTGGCCAAAGCAAGTAACCTAATACTGGTTCATTGAATATTAAGTAAACCATCAATATTCCAGCGAATGCTCCCATTATTTGGAATAGCCAATAGAGTAAAAGTCTGCCTAGTTACTTGCCGTACTTACCCTCGGACAGATAAACAGCTAAGGTTGTTGCTGGATTAAAATGAGCCCCTGAAATGGATACTGCTACAATCCAAAAAGAGAAATAATTCATGGCTCTTGCGAAATAATTATTGGCTGTGAAATTAAAGGCATAGACTGCTCCCATCGATCCCAAAAACTCAAAAAATAAGGCACGAGCTAAAAACAAACCTGAGTCGCTAGCTGGCACTGAACTTTCCATTTGATGCTATTTAAATAATAAGATTGATTATATTGATTCCTAAATTTGATTTTAATTCTCTTTTTATCTAACTGTTCAAAATTCATATCTGATGGGGTTTTGGGGTTTTGGGGTTTTGGGG